GATATGGTGCTTGCCTAGAATGCACAAGGCCCTGATTTTGCCCAAAGCATACAAAGAGTTTTTTTTTTAAGTTCAGGATTTCGGCAGGACTCAGTGATGACAGCATCCTTCCCTGTATTTGTGTAATATACTTTAAGAACAAAAAACCCATGTTAACTCTTTCAGATTGAATCTTGAAATCTTCAGAAGCAAAAAGGAAGTGTTTAAAACTTCCTTCATTATTTTATAAGTCACTAGAACCTAAATGTCAGGCTGTAGCATATTTCCAAAATTGTATCACCAGCCCCTGCACCAGCTGCCCAGGCTTATTCTACGTGGTAACTGTAGGTGCCTAGTTATGCAAGTTTGTTTGGCAACTTACTCAAATACACCGATACCTTTGTAGTATCATTTATAGGTGATTCACAGACTGATTCATCCACAGTGGTTTTCCTGCTCTTAAAACAATCCAAGGGAAAAATGCTTACTTCTCACTAAATCTGTATGAGAACACCAGTTCTTCCTGATTCCCATTTCTTCCTTAATATTTATTAAGGGATGCTTGGGGAACTGTTTGCATTTGCATAAAACTCACCCATTACTTGAATAAAGAAAAGATTATTCATCTTCAGTGCAATTGTTGCTCCATCTTTTTACGAAGCATCAAAGTAACCACCCAACAAGCACATTACCCACTTCTATATAGCTTTCTACATACACAGTTTGGAATATGGTATTTAAATACTAAAACAAATGTTTACCTGATTTGACTTTTTTAATCACTCATCTTGATGAGGCTTTCCAGATTGCTTGAGTTTAAATTTCGTTTTTTTAAAGACAGTAAAAGCATATCACACTTAAACAGTTCGCTCTTTAAATTATGTAAGTATGCTGCCTCTAAGATGTTTAGCCTTTCCCCTGAAAGGAACATTCTTCTTCACTTGCATTTAGTTGAGGCTTTCTGTGTGTTCCTATTTTTTACTTCATTAAACACCATGGTGATGGTTACAGGACAACAACTGATTTCATCTTCAGGCTCACTGCCGGAAAAAACTGGCAACTGCTATAAGCGCTGATGTGTCCAAGCCTGAACACATCTCCCTCTTATTCATGAACTGTAGACTTAGGAATCCCAGATCTCAGATTAGGGAAGGTGAGGCAGCTAAGAAACGGTATGTTAGGACTCACTCATCTGGGCATGGTCTATGAAGTTGTTGTTGGTTTCCTTATTAATATGCTGGCAGTTCTAATTTGTTGCCAAGAAAGGAATATTATTTTAGATGCCTTTTGTCCCAGCTACTTGGGAGGCCATAGGTCAGAGATCATAGTCTGAGGCCACTCTGGGCAAAAAACAGAGAACAAACCTGAAAAATAAATCAAGAAAGGCTGGGGGCATGTCAAGTAGTAAAGCACCTGCCTAGCAGGCAAAGGGATCCAAGTCAAACTTCAGTACCTCAAAAAACAAAATGGGGAGTTTTGAAAATTGTGATGCCAAGCTAAATCTAAGCCAATAGTTCAAAAGTCCTTGGAAACAGATCCAGGCAACTGTATTTGAGTTTCCCTAAATGATTCCAGTGTGTAATCATCTAGTGCCACCGCTTAAGTCCTCTTACATGCTGCTTAAGGCAAAGCTCTGCACATGATACTCTGCTTAGAAACCTCAGCTTTAAGTGTTAACTCAATTTAGTACTTCATTAGACCTAAATCCTGCCTTCACTCTAGCCATGGTTCAAAAAAGGCTGCAAGAACAGCAGTATCCACATTATGGAAATTCCTTCGAAATGCATGCTCAGACCCCACCCTACAATTAGAAACTAGGTAGAGACCAACAAGGTAGTACAGGTGATTCTGCTATTCTAAACCTTCAGGACCGTCAGTGAAGCCAATGAGATTTTAGAGATACACTTTGCTCCATGTCTCTTACTCACTATTGACCAAAGGTAGAACATCTTAATGAACAAGGCTGCTTCCTTGTGTGACCACCCCAATCCCCAAGCTTAGACACAGGAATGGTTCTTCTGGCTCAGCTTCTTTCAGTTGAACAACATAAGTTAGTTACTTAAAGACTGCACTATTTATTGCTTCCTGTACTGCCTGGACATTAATCACCTGGATTTTTTTTTTAAAGTTATTTCCTATTGTTACAAACACTGTTGAACATTTGATTACTCCAAGAGCAATAAATGCATTTTCTTTCCTTATGGTTTAGTTCCCAGAAATGAACGCTATGATAATGAGGCGGTTCAGTTTGCCAGGGGATTGGACAGAGCTCGACAATATGTACACAGGTATGATTATTTTTAAAAGAGAAAAGGCAGCAGCAGGGCAACATGGTATAGTCCTTTAACCAAAAGTTAAAATTGTGATACAAAACAAATTGGTCAATTCTTTGACAAAAAGTGAGAAAGTTAAACAGTATTTGTTCATGCTGTTAATCCCAGCTATGAGAGGCATAGTAGGAGGATCATGGTCGAGCTGGCCAGGCATGTCTGAAAAATAACTACAAGTTAAAAAAAGGAATAGTGGCATTTTTTTAAGTAGTAGAGCAGCTACCTAGCAAGCTTCCTCTCTGTAAAATGGTTTATAGTATTTGCATGTAACCTTACATACCATCCTGTATGCTTTAACCCATCTCTAGTTGCTTACAAGACTTAATACAGTATAGATGCTGTATAAACAGTTATATGCTGTTTAGGGAATGGGGACCAGAAAAATGTACCTGCTCTGTAGACACAGTTTTAAAAATCTTTCAATCTCGGTTGGTTAAACCCATGGATGCAGAGGGCCATTACTGGTGAGTGAAAAGTGGCCTGAAGAGGGAAATTAACCGTATGCACAATACTGAAATGCTCTGAATACCCCAATTACATGCTTAGTTGATGTGCCTTTTTGTATAACCTGCCTTCTCTTTCTTAGTGAATAAGCCTAAGCAGACGTGCATCTAGAAAAACCCACAGCATGTCCTCGCAAACAAACTCTCCAAAGTTCTCTAAATTTTACACACACATAGGGAGTCTGAGTTCCATTCTTTTGTTAATAAGAATGGACAAGTCAGGATTACTAAAGAGTTGATTAGAGCTTGCTGAACAAGATAAACAGAAAGACTTAGGAAAGGCCAATGTGGTGGTGCACACTCAGCTTTTCCCAAGTCTGTATTTCTAGACTGAAGTTTGGCTCAAGTGGTAGAGCACCTGTTTTGCAAAGCACATAGTCTTGATAGAAACCTCACAGTCCCATCAAAAAACAAAAACAAAATCAAAGACTCAAGAATAAATAGAGATTCAAGAAGACACTGGATTCATAAAACAAGAACATGATTCTCTTTCCCCGTAGTGCTAGAGATGGAACTCAAGGGGTTTGTTAAGGCAAGTGCTGCACAGGAGAGGTATATTAGCAGCCCAATTTTTTTAAATGAGGCTGGCAGAGTGGCTCAAGCAGTAAGAGTACCTGCTGCAAGCATGAGGGAGCCTGAGTTCAAACTCCAGGGCCACAAAAAAATGAGACAGAATTTTTTTAAATGAGTAAAGGGAGGCTCTAAGAAATGTAAATGGTGTGAAACAACAAAGGGTACAATGTGAAATTGAAGCAGTCTTCAAAAATATAGCAGAAGAAATTATATTAGTTCTAACTTCTCTCATTTTTTAATCATGTAATAAGGACAATCGGATAACAAAGTGGTCAGCTACAAAAGGAAACTATCAAAACTGGCTAAGAAAACACTGAATGGCAAAAGGCAAGGCTTTCTAAATGATGAACAATCATTTTAAACTACAGTTCTACACTCAATTAAACCATGCATTTAATTTTAAAGGCAAATGAAAGTCATTTAACATATAAGGATTAAAAAGCTGATTTCTCATATACCCCTTCTGGTCGATTATTTGCAAAGCAAGTATGTGTGGGAACAGCAAGAAAGAGAAAGCTTAAGACTTTTGCACAAAATGGTACAGCAAAGTAAACTCATATTTGAGAAGCTAGTAGAGCATACAAAATCAGAGACCTTTCAAAATATTCTACTTTAAATGACAGAGGGGTCATGAACCATAGAGAAGGAAATGTATGATTTAATTCCACAGTAAATATTACACAGAAATAGTATTTTTATTAGTGTCCACCTTTTAGAAAGAACCAGTATTAAAACATGGTTAACAGAAGAGCATGAAAATTTCTGTCTAGTGTAATGGCATAGTTAAAAGAGGATAGGAGCACTGGTATCCTCATCCTACAAATAAAAACAGAAGTTGATGCTACATGATTACAAAGTAATCACCACAAGAACTGAACAGACCACTGTAATGATCAGATTAGGAAGCACAGGAAGACAACTAATAACTAAAATTAATAAGAAGTAAGAACAAATGGTTAAAGCTGGTACTCTGGGAAAAAGGAACTGTTGATTTTTATCATGATCATCATGAAGTCTTCTCTACTTTCATTTTATTATGTATATGTTTAATATTCTGATTTTTATTCTTTTATTTAAAATTCTTATAAGATATTTTACATAGAACTTCATAAAACTCCAATACTTAAAAGTAAAAATAGGAGAAAATACATGGCTATTTGGTACTAACGAGTCAATTGCTTTGTATGCTAACAGAATAAAAAATCCAAAGAGGCAGTGGAAGTCAGAACCATGAGTTGGAAAGAGGACATCAATCTGATATCAAAAGTATGTTTTAATCTACTAAAGCAGAAATCTAAGACCAGTTTGTGACATCTGTTTTGTTCTGTTTCCCATAGAGTGATGGTGTGCAACAAACAACCTACCTCGCCCAGCGGTACTGTCATGAAGCAGTAAGAGAGATCAGTAAACTCCGCCAATCCCCAGAAAGAGATGCCCTCATTCAGTTTCAGAAATAGTACTTGCAAGAGATAAATGACAACTCTTTCTGTTCGCTCTGGCAGCTATTTTACCAGACTGTGCTAAAGAATTTGTGGAATACACTTGTTTGCTTCATGTGCAGATAACCAAAAATCATTTTTAAAAATAATTTCAACCTTATTGATGGCAATTTTTATTGGCAAGTTTTCAGAAACTTTTAAAATGTAGTTAAATCACCTGAATCTGTCATTGTAGCTTTACATAAATTCTAATCGAGTATCTTGATGGTTTCATGTGGTATTGTTTACACTGTTAATATCCACATGTGAAACCATTACACAAATAAATAATGTTAAATTCTAATGGTTTGTCTTATTTTACCATAGGAATAAAGGAGAAACTGTGAAGTCTGCACTAAATCCACATTAGTTACATTTTAACAGTATCAAAAACTTCATAGAGGAGAATGATTTATTATAAAAGACTATACAAAATTTAGACAACAGTTATATACAAATTAAGAGAACATTCCACTTGAAAAAAGAATCGAAATAGCTAGCTGATCACTAATGATACTTAAAATTAACAAAGGCAAAATGCGTATGAAACAGTCACATTGATTTGTAGCAATAATGGTCTTTAATTTCAGAAATAAATGTTTCGCACTAGTCCCATTCACTATGCTGTTGTGTGTAACACCCAGTAACACAATGTAATTTGAAAATCCAAATAAATCCTCAATACACAAACTCACATTTGGTTCTACTTTAATATCCTAAGCAAGACAGAATTATACACAAGATGAGGAAACTTCCCTAGAACCCTCCATAAAGAGGAGACACACAAAGTGCATGTGTTGCATTTCAGTTACGTCAAAAGACAGTACAAACTGTGGTTAATTGTGTCTCTGTTCACTGATTAATACATGACCTACCTTCTTTCCCAATCATTTTATTTAAAATCTTATGTTGCTAGTGCCAGGTAATGAGTTTAAATAGTGCCTATTCACAAATTAATTGCATCCACTTTTACAATATATGTAAAAGATACTTACAATTTCCTTTCATCGAGCCATTGTACAACAGTCCACTGTAAAACTGAAGGACAACAGGGAAATCCTCAAGAATTTTACCTAAGAATGATGTGCACTTTGACATTTTCTTAGCTTCAGAAGTTACTTTAAAAAAGGAATTCAGTAGATTGACATGTAAATCATATTTTAAATCTGAAAAAATCTGTCACATTGATGTGGGACAGATTGAGATAAGGCTAAAATTTTTTTTTCCAAGTTAAATACATTGAGAAATAGAACCATAATTCTGCAGTAAAACAGCTTTGCGTTTGTTTTTTAAAGCAAACCAGTGAAAGGAAAGGACAAAAACCTTTGGTTCACTTACATATTATGAATGAAAAAATCTGTAATTCAAATTTCACTCATTAAAAAACTTATAGATACAATGACCACGTTACAGATACCTTTTTTTGTTTCACATGGACACCTTAGAGACTCCTGTAAGTGTGAGTATCCAGGTTAAGTATTACACATATTAGAAGCATCTTGAATTTTAATATATTTCAATACATAAATTTTTATGCATGCTTTAAACAAACAGTATTTTTAAAAATGAGAATCTAAACAAAAGTGTGACCAGCACCAGCATTTAAGTTTTCTGATTTTAATATGAATCTGACATAGCGTTAGTAACCATGCTGCACTGAAACATGTATGTAATGGTACAATGAATCATGACTTGTAAATTATTTTACCCCATATCCCAGAATATTTAGGCTGGTCATAATTACTAATGTGTAAGTAGTACATAAGCATAATCAGTATATGGACAGCTTTTGTATAAATTGCTACTTAGCAATACACAATCTGCCTCAATGATTTATGCTTACAGGTAACATTCAAATATACCAATAAACAGCATGTTCTGAAAAATGGGCACATTTAAGACATTAAGACAATTCTGTTAACCATAAATAGTCCACAGTATGACTGAGTAATAATAAGAACCTACTTTAAAAGGAAAAAAAGAAAAAGGTTAATCAGTATAGTGCATGATTGATTCAACATAGTTTCCCGGGAAGAGACAGTCACTCGATTGCAGACTCCTTCATACCAGCCATCGTCATTCTTCTTTATAACATAAATGATTGCACCCTCCATAAATGACAGCTCATCATCCTTGTCTTTGTATAATCATATATTGCAACAACTAGAGAGGAAACAATGAAAATATTATGAGTGTATTACATCCAACATTCACTTGAATGTTAAGATTTAATGCAAATTAAATCTATGGTATAGCAAATTCAAGGTTTTATGAAGATTCTTAATTCTTACATCTTGATATCAGTATAAGGAGGTCAGTGACTAACCAAGTGCTTTTGTTATTAGGTTGATCTGGGGACCAAATTGACATTTGATAATAATAAAGAAGTCAATAGTTTCTGCCAATCTCTTTAAAAAACCTCTGAATTTTAGAGTTTACTAAATACTTCCATTCATTCATCCAAAGATCTGTGCATCTATGCAAAGCAACAATTTTGAAAATAATAACTAGGCAAAACTGCATAGCCATTCAGTAAACCAGATAACCCAAGCTATCGAATTTGTAAGTACCATACATTTACTGGAGAGATAAATATTTAGTCATTCCAGATACATGGTAATTTATAATTTATGGATTGCACTCAGCCTTTAAACACACACACATAACAAAAAAGACTTAACTTTCCAGATAAAGGATTCTTGTTTTTTTAAATGGAGAAGAATAACCCCCAGTTAAGACTGCAATTCTGTATTTTTGACTCAAAGTTCAAAATATTCTTTCTTTGCAAATAATGTTGTAGAAAGCAAACTAAAAAGTACTAAGTTTTCCCTTTTATTGGAATATGAACTTAAATATTCCTCAGTCCACATTTATAACAGTCTAAAATGATGTGCTTTTAAAAAGTAAGTTGTAAGATATTTATGATACTCGAATTCATTTACTCCTAAGAAAGTTGACCTTTCCCATGATTATTTTGTGATTTATAATAAAGGAGAGATTTGAAGTACTCACAGCTGTCATTTGCTATGTTAAAACAGGCAGTCTTTTCCCTTAACAAAACCTGTATTAGGTAGACTGAGCAAGTCATTCTCTTCTATTTTAATCCTGCATACAGAACCATAGTATTATAATTGCAAGGTCAATGACCTATCAAAGTTTCAAAAAATATGCAGAATATATTAAATAATTATTCTAGTATTAAAACATATTTGTGATATCTAGTTACCCTAATATTAAAAAATTATCTATAGCCAAATTACCACCCAAAGATCAGGTGACTGCCAGAGATAAAACTATTAGTAAAGAAAATAGATGCTTGTAATCCTAGCTACTCAGGAGGCAGAGATCTACAGCTAGAGGTATGGCTCAAGTGGTAGAGTGCTTATTTTATCATTACAAAGGTGACTATCAAAGCTTTAATACAATCCTACTAAATCGTAATTTTTGGCTTAGACTAGAGATCAGCAAACAATGGCCTATGGACAATCCAGACCACTGCCCTTTTTTAACTGCAACACAGTCACTTCTATTCACTTGCATATTGTCTATGCCTGCTTTTGCACTACAACAGGGTTCAGTAAGTAGAGCCAGCAGAATTTATATTATCTGGCCTTGCAATATAAAAGTATGCTGATCTCTAGTTTGTTGTGCATTATTTCAGCTTGTGGAGTTTTTTTTTTAATCCTGTTCAACTATATCAACTAGTATTCAAATTTGTCAAACTGACGTAATATTCCCTTTCCATTGTTAAAATCAAATTTGCTTTACTAAGTAAGAAAATAGGGATAAAAACACAATTCAAGACCAGTCAACGAAGAACAGGACAGTGAAACAGATCCTGTCTGGGATCTTCCCCCTCCCAGTGGGAGGGAGAAGGATATAAGGAAAAGGTATAGGAGGGTGAACATGGTGAAAATATTATGTACTCATGCATGAGACCTGTTGAAACTATTCCAGGAATAGGGGAGTGGGGATAAACAAGAATTATAGAGGGGATGAATTTAATTATGATGTATTGTAAGAACTTTAGTAAATGACTCCCAGTATAACAATAATAATAATAAAAACATTTAAAAAATAAGACTAGTCAAACAGGTATGGTGGCTCATGCCTGTAATCCTAGCTATTTGGGAGACTAAGATTGGGAGGATCAAGATTCGAGATCAGCCCAGGCAAGTACTTTGCATGTCTACTTGTGTATATTTGAAAGTGCATGGGAATCCAAATACAAGCATAATATTCAAGACTTGCTTAACATGTAAAATATTTACTGTTTTAAAATATTAAAAAAATCAAAAACAAACTTACTTTTGACATATATTCCAAACTGGCAGGAAAGAATGCTGTTCTCTGAGCTACAACTATTTGCTTAAAGTCAGTTAATTCAGTAAAGCAAATGGAAAGCAAGGTATTTCAAAGTCAACAAAATGTGATCAACTAAATTAAAAGCATTTTAAAGATATCTGCAGAAATGCAGATTTTAAAATGGCACAGAACTGGAGGGAAAACAAAAAACTCTAGAAACCTGTTTCTTCCTCAATGACATTTTTTAATAGATAATTCCAGTGAGTATCAGGTACTATAGCTCAATGTGGACATTAGAGTTAATTTCATGAAACATAATACTAGTCAGTTATCCCTTCTTAAAAATCACCTAACTGAAAATCTCAAAGCTTTTCTTCATGATAGTACCAATATACTTCAAAATATCGAATTAAAAGAGCTTGAAAAGTCTTTTTTTGGGGGGTCCGGGGTCAGTACTGGAGTTTGAACTCAGAGCTTCACACTTGCTGGGCAGATGACCTACTGCTTGAACCACACCTCCAGCCCCAAAATCTTTTATTACATATGACTTCAGTAAGTCATTTAGCTGGCTTTTTGTGACTTAGTTGTTTCATCTATAAAATGCAAAACAGTCAAGTTAACCTGAGACTGGAAGAAAATGTAGTTTGAAAATTCACACCTGACATAATTTTAATTTAAAAAAATATATATTTTGGGGAAGAATACAACATAGGCAGTGAGGTGTAAGTAAATCATCTTAGTTAATAAGGCATTTCAAGTTGAGAAACACTAGACTTTTTTATAGTTATAATTTTCTATAATTAGGTTATTGCCCTTCATATCAATTCCCTGATAATGGCTCCTTACCTTTCTCAATATAGTTCTTAGGGGCCCACGCAGGATCCCCATCTGCATATGGATCATTATACTGAACTACTGCAGCTTCCTCATCTTCATAGTCCACTGGAGGAGGTGGTGGTGGAGGTGGAGAGTCATCAAACATGGGAATGTCATCTGGTGGAGGTGGTGGTGGTGGAGTTGGACTATCAGCAACTAAAAAGATTCAGATAATCTGAATCAGAAATTAGTCTGAATGGAAATTTATAAAATAATAGAATTCAAGAAAGTTCTACCTCATATACAGCATGCACTATAGTAACACATGCAATGATTAGAAATAAAAGCTTGGTGTGTTAAAGTTTATGCTACTCTTAAGAATATTTTTGCAGTAATAAGCTAAAATTATAGCTGTAAGTACTACAAACTAATGAGTGCAAGATATTAGGACACAATGTCTTTTTTTCCTGAGGACTACAGGAGTAAAAAATTTCCTCATTCCAAGGCTTGGGTGGAAACAAATGTAACTCTTTAAGCTTAGATGACTAAAATAAACTTTACATATATTGTCATTTGGACTATAGCAAATGTTGTAAGAGCACACTGGTGGTTGGATAACTTTTTATTGTGCTCATCCATGCCTCTGATTTTGGCTTTAACTCCAGTGACCTAGAAATTCTCAAGTGGACATATTTTTTTTTTATTTATTGTTTAAATGGATCAAGGTTGATATCATCAGGTCTGCTTCTTTGTATAGGTTTAATTTTAAGAAAAATTAAATAAAAATAATACCCAACTAGTAGAAAATAAAATATTTTCAAAAATACTTATATTCATAATCAAATTTTTGAAGTAGAAAGGAAGCTAAGATTTTTTTTCATTATTGCTAATAAAACATAAGCATGAGATGACAAAAGACCAGATCCTAAAGATCCAATTTTCTACTACAACCACAATTAAGATTTAAACATAAAGTGTTGAGGGAAGATGCAATAAAAAAAAAAAAAGGGAACTTATATCAAAACAAAACAATAAAAACGACTCATACCTCAAATTCTAGATAGTTGTGCTGTGTGTATATCTATGTGCTTTAAATAATCAATAGTGTTAACTGTGAAAATGGAAAAATGTCAGACTAGAACTGTACTCCCTTATCTACTATGATACCAGGCTCCCCAAATTAAGGAAATCAAAGATGGAACACAACTAATACTTGAATTTCTGATCCACAAACTTCTTTACAAGGTCAAAAGCTATGAAAATGTTTTACACAAATCAGTAAAAGTTTTTAAGTTTAGCCCACCTGACTTGGAATAATGTAATGGAGATATAACCAAGAGGCCCAGATTTAAAACATTTGCAGATAACAGCCCTACTTCTAAATCACTTCAATTCTATGATTTCATTTTTTATCCTCGTGGGGAATGAAAAGAGCTATTAAAAAAACAAATCTTGTGTGGTGGTGCTTACTTCTATCAAACAGATACACAATTCACTTTACCTTTGCCCTATCTCTTCCACAAAGCTTTTATAATATTGAAGAGAGAAAAATGGGTATGAGCCCATCCCAACTTCAATACACATGTATTGGTGTGTATATATGCCTAAATTCCTAAATTGCCACTGCCCTTGATTTATACAACTTACTAGTTTAATGTTTGCATTTAATTGTCTTTATGTCCAACTGTTATAAATTTACACTGGCTTATCTTCAAATTATGGCAGGACTCTGGTCAGTCTAATTCTCTGCATAATAGTTTTCTATGCATATTTAATTCAAAAAGGTTTTGTGATGTTAATCAGAGATATATAAACACATTACAGACTTGGGGGCTCATATCTCAAACCAAAACACTTATTAATAATAAATTAGTAACTACATACATTATTTGTCATTTGCGTGCCAAAGAAACTAGGTATTTAACAAAAGAACATAGAAAATTTGTACTTCATAAAACATTTAAAGTGCTGATACAGTTTATTTTCAATTTTTAAAATTTGTCTTCAAAGAAAATAGATGCCAGATAATCTGGGGAAATCAGTGGCGTAAAAAGAATAACTGACTAATTCAAGTTCCTGTTTAGGGGAAAGAACTAAAGTAGTTATACCAAGAGCCCTTTATGAATAATGAACATAAATACTGTATTTCTATTGTTTTAAAAAGTTCACAAATTTTGTGGCGAAATTGTTTTCTAATAACTCTTAGTATTATGACAGTTCACAAAGCTGAACTGGCTTAGTTTTTAAACTGTTGCAGCATTAAGAACCAGCAACTTGGCCAGACAACATGGTAGACACCTATAATACCAGCCGGTAATACCAGCACTTAAGACAGGCAGGAGGATCTCAAGGCCAGCCTTAGCTATGGAGCAAGACCCCTCTCAAACAACTAAGGGCTTATGAGTATAGCTCAACAGTAGAGCACTTACTTAGCATTCACAAGGCACAATGTTTGCTCTCCAGCACCACACAAAAATAATAATGATGATCAGCAATTCATCCAATTTGCATATTTTTTTAAATGTAAGATTCATTTTTAAATATTTGAACAGAGTTTTCAAATAGGATAGTTTACACTCAGAAATTTCATTAGATCATACATTTCTGGAAGTTTATCTTAAAACTATTTGACCAACACTGAATAAACAGATATTTTCACTGGCAGAAGGGGAGGAAGTGGGGAGAATAACACACGGAGTCAGCAAAAGCTGAAATGGAACTTGCCACAATACATTTTCCTAAAAGACGGGCTGGTTGAGTGGGTTACTCATTTTTCAAACCATTCTGAAATTTATTTTCATGAGGATGGTCCCAAATGAAGTAAATTAGAACTAGACCACTTTATCATCTTTTTTGGAATATAATTCAGTCATAGTGGTGTTTTTCATTTTGCCACACAATATTCACTGTGATCATTTAATTAGGATTATGTATCTTCTGGTAACTCAAAAGTAATCAGGTAGCAATATAAATTAGTCTATCCTGATTACATCTATATATACACTAAAAACAATTTAAAAATCATTCAACTTTATCTTCATTTAGAGAAGTCCAAAAAAAAGCAGATTTATACATTCAGGAATGTCCTCATGAACCTGCATGTAGGCAAAATGCAAATTTTCACATTCCTTATCACTCACCTTAACTGGGCAACATGTTCTTGGGGAGTCATTCTTTCTGTGTTTTGGGGGGGGCAGCACTGGCATTGGAACTCAGGGCTTCAAACTTGCAAGGCAGGCACTCTACCACTTGAGCCACGCCTCCTGGAAATCCATTCTTAACAATGAACTTTTATATAGGTTAAAAATCATTTTGGTATAAAGATCCAAGGCTATAAATGTTCTCTAAAATATTGTATAACTGAAGGGGAAAAAAAAAATCTGTCCCAATTTCCAAAGAAATTTAATCTCAGAATTCAAAACTTTTCTAAATCTCTTAATATTATTAGAAGTAAGAGTTTGTTTGTTTTAAACACTCTATGCAAAGATCAAATTTCATGTTTTACATCATATAAATACTTAAGAAAGCTGTAGTTTGAAATTTTTATGGGTCAGTAATCATGCACACAAGAGAAAAAAACTGAAGACTAGTCTTCAGTTTCAATAACGTATCTGCGCCTATTTCAAGATAAGATTAGCTTCTCAATAAAAGTAAGGAAAATGATGACTCATCAGCCATGCATGCTATAAGGAGACAGCCTCTATTCTTTGATAGCTCAGTGTTTCCAAACTTACTGTTTTCCTGCACCCTGGCCACGAAGCCTGTGAGAGGTATCTGTGGAGTCAATTGAGGCATAGGGGGAGGGGGTGGAGCAATAGAAACTGGTAGCAACAACACAGTATGGGGAAGTAAACAGAAACAGGAAAGAAAAGGAAACAAACAAAAAGCAGAAGTCAGTTACAAGGACACAAACATAAGTATGCAAAGAACAGTTTGCAAATGAAACAAAAAACATAAATAAAACAAAAACCTACAGAACCTTCAAGTTCATGTCCCACAAGCAAACCTAAAGCCAAATTGTTCTAGCAATTGGTTAAAAATATAAATGAAACATACACTTAATCCTAACGTTATATTACTTGGGAAAATTTTAATTTATTGTAACATTCACTTTAGTGCTTTTAAATTCTAAGGAAAGACTTCTAAAATAAGGTAACAATAAAATATATACTGGTTTCCAGAATATTATTTTTGCTGTAATTCTACAAACAGGTATACCTAGCCAGCCTTAAGGTAATGTTATAAATTAGAACCCAAATAAAACAAGTATGAAACGGCTACTGATTACATGTATAAATGCATAAATAAATAAATACATCAAGCACAGACTTCCTTTGAAGACAGTTCTTATATCTAAATTTATACAGTTCAGGAGAAGCTCTTGTTTATAAAACAAGGTTATTATTATTTTTTAAGTTGGTAATTTTATTTATAAGGATATCATTTGTGAATTTATTAGGGAATAAGAGTGTTTCATACACCATGTGAATTACTCAGTTTCAAGAGATATCTCAAGGGTGATCCTTTTAATCATGTTCTGAAAAAGGAAACCAGATCCTCAGTAAGTTCAAATATGCAAATATTTTACTTATTTCTAGTGAATCTTTGGCTGGCTTGAAACATATTCAAACTTCTTTCAGGAGAGGACATAACTTACAGGAAACTGATAGCAAATGCTCATGTGGGCAAAAAAATGTATTAAAGTTGAAACAAACTAGAAGTAAGCACTCATTTGTTTACCAGGTCTCATTTTAACAAGATAGTAATTATCAAAGATGACTCAGAAAAACTCTACAGGGCTAGATGGCAAAATTGAATTTACAGGTGGGCACCAAAAAGTGACACTAAATTAACTGAGAAAAACAATTTACTGGTTCCCAAAGATCATTTCATTAAAAGATTAATCCAATATACAAATTTTGTTGGTAAGCATAAAAATTTGGAAGATTCAGGATTCAAAGAAGCAACTTAACAAAGCAATATATGCATTACTATTAATTGTGTGGCAAAAAATAACATGCAATTCACTAAGAAACTGATTTGCTTTCATTCTGATACTCTGTATATAGAAGACTGTTTAAGAAGAGGTTAACTCCCACAACCCTAAAAATGTTTTTTAGAAAGAACCCTTAGTGATGAGTCATGCTGGTTAGTATGTAAAGAAAAAGAAAAGGCTATGCTGTGAAGAAACTGATCAGCACATTCGACAAAAGAGAAAATATGCACATCCAAACACTAAAAACGTTTATACTACTAAAACTAAAACTGAAGGATAATTACACAAAACATAATAAATTTAAAATCTGAGATCAAATTTGCTCTCCAATATTTAAAAGAATTTAGATATTCAAATATAATGAAAGTGTCCTGTTTGAAAATAACCAACTCAAGTATCGCTAAAATAAATACAAACGTATTAAGTGAAATAAAAACCCTTTTGCAGAGTAAGTTAAAAGTCTAAGTAGAGAATAGAAAAATAATGAATGTAAAGATGGGTTCTAAATATGCAAAACATGAAAACAAGTTAAAATTCACAAAACTAGTGAAATAAATTAATTTGTGGAATATTTGGGCCTTCAATACCAAAAGGAGACCCATGAAAATGTGAGGCAAAATACTAATTTGTAATGTTTAATACATCTTAGCAATTTGAACAAAAATTTTACCCTGGAAAAAGATTATATAAATTTGAAATTATATGAATTTTGAAATTCCTGCTAAACTGGTTTTCAATTTTTAGTAGTTTTTGCTGTAACAAAGATTAATTCATCTTTAACTCTAAACTTTAAAATGAGTAAGAGAAGTTCCTGCTAGTTTGCTTTAAAATAAATATTCAGTATATACGCTATAAATATAAAACTTAAACCAGCCTCCTATATAAATACAGAGTACTCAGGGCTTTTTACGTAAAATATGTAACATGCAGCTCTAGAAAGCAGCTATAAAAGGCCTGTTTAAGCCTCTTATCAGTAATCACTTTAAGGCAGAAACAAATACTTCGTAGTAGGCTCATTTTGGATTTTATTTTCTCTGGTTTTACTTTTTGCATTAAACATCTTAATATGAAAAGTGAACTTAATTACTATCCTAAGATATTCAAACTTCCTATATGCTAAGACTATTTTCTTGTTTTTGGCTCTACTGGGGTTTGATCTCGGGGCTTTGCGCTTGCTAAACTGCATTCTACCACTTGAGCTACACCTCCAGCCTATTCCTAACAGTTTAAACATGACTGCGATTAGTACTGAGATGTGCAATTTGTAGTGAACAGAAAGAAAAATCAAAGGAAATCCTTCCCACTGTTAGAATTGCTGAAAAAGAATAATTAAGCAGGTATGCAATGTTTTTAATTAGTGTTTAACTCATTTGGGGTATAGCTTAAAAGTGATAGCCAGCAATTTCATCTTATTATTTTAAAGGAAAACATTCATAATTTTACCATTACTGAACTGCTGCAAGCATGCCAATAAAAACAAATTTATTTATTTCATTTTCTTCTCTACTTCTACTTATATTGCAGAATTAAAATAGCAATATTAAATGCACTAATACAATTTTGGTATACTAAGTATACTCAGTAAGTCTGAATATTGGAGAAGAAAGTGATAAGCAATTATTTCTAAAATGTTATGATTCAGGGACTAAAATTGTAAGGCAAAAATAAACATGCAATAACATGGTTTCAATTGTTGTCTATCACTGGTAAGAATAACAATTTCAAGTAATTTCCTTCAAAAAGAGCTCCACTGTTGCAACATGCCTGCAAAGCACAAGCTTACTTGAATTTTGAGAATAAAGTGGACCTCCATTAACATGAGGCTGAGCAGAAAATTGAGCAGTCACAGAGGGAGTTCGTCTGTATCCACCAGAAGATGTCGAAGAAGTGGTAGAGTTGTGTCGAGAAATCTGCCTGGTCATTGTGCCATACTGCGAACCAGGAGCTGAGCCCGGGGCTGCTGAAAAGCATTAGTCAAAGGCAACCAACAAAGAAACTTGAGCATTACAATCACCTCAAACGGCAGAACAAAGATAGGGGACTCTCAGTAAGAAGTGTTTATTACTTTGTAAAGCCCACAGCACAAACTAAAAAAAAAGTAGGGGGCGAGTGGGGGGTGGGAATAGCAACTACTGTGTGGAAAACTATAAAATCAAGTATGCAACTTTCAAATAAGCATAATCCTAAAAGGTATTCTGTTGATACCACAGATAAATTTTATATACATTTTAGAATACAGTTGGGTCAGGATCAATGGGTTCCACATTTGGATCCAATCAGCTAGATGGAAAATAGTCAAGAAAAAAACCCCTGTGTCCATACTAAACATGCACATTTTTTTCTTGTCATTATTCCCTAAGCAAGACAGCATAACAACTACTCATAGAATTTACAATGTATTAGATATAAGAAATCTAGAGATTATTTAAAGTACACTAAGGGAGGATACCAACCACTGATTTTACATAAGGAACTTACTATAGGGATTTTGGTATTTACAAGGGATGGCATAACCAACCTCCCTATGGAAATGAAGGACCGTCTATAGCTTTTATATGTAAACTGTCTCTCCATAAAAGTTAGTATCAAAAGATATTATGAAATGTAAAGTGTTACTCTTCACATGTGAATGTATTCATATCTGGTTTCCATTGCCAAAATTTTCTTATTTTTGATTCACAATAGAAGAATCTGATTAAACCCAATTTAAACTGCTAAGCATATTTCTCACATTATATGTTTTTACTTGAATTTTACTGCACTCGCAGATAATAGTATCCATACGTATTACAGCAGAATCATTTTAAAGTATGACTTCAAAACACATACAATGTCAGATCTGTTATGTAACATTTTTTCTCCCTATCACTTATATTTTTGTAACTGACAAAACTCAGAAAATTTTTAGACTCTATAAAATATGGCATTTTGAGGCAGCTTTGTTTAGAAAATCTATTTTCTCTCCACACTTAGAAGACTTTCTCCCATATTATACACAAAGCACCAGCTTTAAAAAAATCATGTTCATATAAATAACTTAAAATCTAAGCTAATCAAAGTATAATACTTAAAATTGAATTTAATGTCATCTTTATTAGGACTTCAAAATGTTAACATTTAAAAGGTTAATAGAGTTCAAAGTCTCTAAAGTTAACTGTACTTTCCAAGGTTAACATCGAGGTTAATCCCTCCTGCCCCATGTACACATGTAACCATGATATAGGAAGTAAAAAGCATTCTAGTTTACCTTCCCTCAGTTGTCTAATATCTCTTTATGATTATATAAAACCATATTGCAAATGTTAGTCATTAAAAGAAGAACCAGTATTTAACATTTTGGAACTCACAAGCCACAGTTCACTAATTATTTGAATCATCCACATACTCATTTTCTAAAGAGAAACACAGTTTAAAAATCTTTTGGAAGGCTGCGGGTGTAGCTCAAGTGGTAGACCTTTTGCCTAGCAAGCTTGAGGCCCTGGGTCAATCTCCAACACCATTTAAAAAAAGGAGGGGAGCAAGGGGGAGGGTAGAGGCTTTGCAAATACGTAATTTCAGACAGATAGGTTCTCCAGAGAGTTAAGTAAACCCATAGCCATTTCTAATAGAAATCTCTGTAAAATGTTTTAAATATCTCAGTTGTTACCTCTCTGTATTTAAAACTGAAAAACAATAGCAATTCCAAACTATACCTATTTTAGAATTTATTTTAATATTTTACTATGAAATAAATCATAATACCAAAGGGTATTGTTATATAATACGTTATACGTTATTATAATGTACATAGTTATGTATATAACTTTTTAAAGTAAGACAAATACCCTTCTTACTAACTACAAGATTTATATATCACTGAAGCTTCCTTTGTGCCCCTCTCCTGGATCCCAAGCCCACAAAATATGTGGGGTTTCTTTTTTATATAATTTTTCTATCTAATTTTGTTTTCTATATAATTTTTACCATAGATACACATATAACTTTTAACAGTTCATATAGTTTTTACAAATGTGTAAATTTTTATAATGAAATGAATCTGTATGTATTGTTAATTGCTCTTCCTTCCTGATACTATTTTTTAAGACTTATCCATATGAATAAGTACACTAATGTCATTTATTTCTGCTGCTTTATTTGTATGTGAACATACCACAATTTATTTCTGTATTCTGTTCTTATTACACAATTAGGTTACAATGAGATTTGTGCTATTTTTACTATTACGACTTAAGAACACTACTTGTTTAGGAACGAATATTCCTAAATATGGTTCCTCAATTTTCCTATGACAACTGTTCTTACCCTCCAACATTGATCAGAATTTGTACTTAAGAGCTGTTGTAACACAGACTGCTGGGCCCCATCTTCAGGTTTTGACTGAGTAGGTCTGGAATGGGATCTGAGAACTTGGCATTTCTAACTAGTTCCATACACTGATGATTTCGGGGCAGCACTCTGAAAGATAGTGGTCTAAGACAACGGCTTTCAAACTTTTTAGTCTACTCTTAAAAATGAGAGAACATTGAAAAAGTTTTTATGGATGTGAGTTACAGCTATAGATAATTACCTAATTAGAAATTAAATCTGATGTATATTTGAACACATGAACCCAAGTTCACATTCCATTAGCTGTCAAAACAGTGGCTTTACCCTCTTAATATAATCTCTGGAAAATTCCAGTGTATACTTTTAAAAGAATGAGAATAAAAAAGACAAATAATGAATATGGTTCTGACCTCAAAAACACCTGAGGATTCCTCAACTATATTTTGAGAATAGTGCTGAGGGAAAATATCTAGAAATAAACCTAATAAATCCAGGGTAGGTACATGTTCAATTTAACCAGGTAACAACAAATTATTTTAGAAGGCGAGTATATAACTAACAAACTCCCACCAAAAATGTACTTTTCACACATCCTCACCAACATTAGTACGTGTGGACTTCTACATTTTTATCTATCCAGCAGAAATAAAATCTTATTGTGGTTTTAATTTTAGTTGCCCTGTAAATTAGGCTGAAGGCATTTATTTTCACACATACTTCCTATGAACAATTTCTATTATCAAGATCTTTTTTATTACTTCTTTTCCTCTTTTCCTTTTTATGTATGTACAAATGTTTTGAAAAGATGTTATCAGTTTATTTCACCTAAACTGAAACTCAGCTCTCCTTATTTGAAACACATTATCCATTTCTACCCAGATTACTGTTATTGTACATTTCTAGAATGAATACTTTTTAAACTGACTACATAAGTGGAATTCTTTATATGTTCTATCTAGTCCTCTTCAACTTGGGAACAATTTAAAGGGATTTTATTGAGAAAACTATTTCATAGCATCCTCAGCTGTCATAAAATCTGGGCTATATAGGAGTTTTTCAAATGATAATCCACA